TGTTGCGAGATATCCGAATTTGGGAGTTTCCTATGTTACGCCGTGTGCTTCGTTTCCGCCGCCGGCCAGATGTAGCATTTCACCAATACGACGCTCGCGCCGCTGCTGTTATTTCCAATTGGTGCCAGCAGTCCGGGATTCAGATGGTTTACATCCGTGTTCTGAAGACGCGGCTGCTTGGAGGCCTCGTGTCTTTCAGTTGGACTCGGGGGCTTCTCCGCTGAGGCTGGCTCGTGAATTCCGGAACGCAGAGTGGTGGTGCAGGATCCGGGCGTGGGCTTCGGAGCGGAAGCGCCGACGGCCAGGACTCATCCGGGCCCGGAGCGGCAATCCAGCAGCTCATTGGGAGCATCCATTCGTCACCGTTTTCTGCGATAACTTGCACGACAAGCTCAACAGTTGCTCTTCGAAGGAAGAGTGGATGCGTGGGTTTCCAGACTCTTTGGAAGTTCCGTGTGCGAAGTGGAGTTTTCCAGTGCCCGCCACGGACATTTCGACGACCAGCGACCCGCGGGTCACAGCGGAGTTAGGCACCGGCATGCCTGAGCTGCCGGACAATCCCCGGGAACTGTCCTGGGGCGAAGGCGGCAGGAGAGTGTGGATCCATACGGATTGCCAAAGCCTGGGGGACATGTTCGGCGGCCGGGCAAAGCTATCTTGCAATAGTATACGACCTCCGTGCGTCAGGGTGGCTCGCATGTTCGAGTGCATGCTGAATGGAGGCTTCAGGCCTAGATTGGACGCGGTGGCTTTCATTGAGTGGAATCGCAGGTCGTTCAATATGTGCGCGGATCGCAAGGTTGCGTGGGTTCACCGAGACTCTCCGGCCATCGAGGCGGCGAAGTGTTCTGACATGTTGTTCCGCATTTGTTTTGACGGCACAGTTCGATACAGACCGGCGGCAGCGATGGGGATAGCGACCAGCGGCGGAGTGCGGAGACTGTTGACCATCGCTGGCAAGCGCTCTGCCTAGAAGGGTTCTTACTGTATAAGCTTAAAGGGGCCGGGCAGTGGACCACGCCCCGGGCGGTTCCCCCGGCATCCGCCCCGCGGTTCCCCCAGTTACGTCCCCTTAGCTTAGCGTTGCTTATCTCATATTAGCTTAGCTTATTTCATATTAGCTTAGCTTAGCTTATCTCATATTAGCTTAGCTTATCTCATCGTAGCTTAGCTTAGCTTAGCTTAGCTTAGCCGCTATTTAGCCTACCTTAGCATGGCTTGGCTTAGCTTAGCTTAGCTTATCTTATCTCATCTTAGCTTAGTTTAGCTTAGCTTAGCTTAGCCTAGCTTAGCCTAGCTTAGCTTAGCTTAGCTTGGCTTGGCTTAGCCTAGCTTAGCTTATCTCACATTAGCTTAGCTTAGCTTAGCTTATATCATATTAGCTTAGCTTAGCTTAGCCTAGCCTAGCCTAGCTTAGCCTAGCTTAGCTTAGCTTAGCTTATCTCATCTTAGTTTAGTTTAGCTTCGTTTAACTATTTTAGCTTAGCTTAGCTTAACTTAGCTTAGCTTAGCTGATGCTGCTTTCCTAGGGGCTCCAACTCCTAGGTAGGGTCGCACTGGGTTAATTGTGGAAATGCTGGCATTGGCATGGGGTCTATACACATTCAAATATCAGTGGCAATGTATCATCGTGGACTGATCAGTGGCGGCGGGTTACGTGTGTGTGTGTTTATGTATGTGTGTGTGTAAGCTCCACATTTGCACGAGTTGGACATGAAAGAAAGATGAGGAGGAGGAGGAGGAGGAGGAGGAGGAGGAGGAGGAGGAGAAGAAGGACAAGAGGAGGCCGAGGAGGAGGAGGAATAGGAGGAGGAGGAGGAGGAGGGAGGAGGAAAAGGAGAGAAGAGGGAGGGAGAGCAGAGAGGAGGAGGAGGAGAAGCAGGAGGAGAGGGAGGAGGAGGAGGAGGAGGAGGAGGAGGAGGACAATGAGACAGGGTGTGGGTGGTGGGAGACGTGCTCTTTCGCGCCAGGAGGAGGAGCAGACAGGACGAGGAGGAGGAAGATGAGGAGAAGGAGTTCCGATGATGCTGCTGATGATGATGAGAAGGAAGAGGAGGAGGAGGAGGAGGCGAAAAATAAGAAGAAGGAAAAGAAGGCTGAGGAGGGAGGGGAGGAGGAGGAGTAGAAGGAGGAGGAGGAGGAGGAGGTGGAGACGGGGGAGGAGGTGGAGGGGGAGGAGGACGAGTGGGAACATGGCTTCTCGATCTATTCCTCCTTTCCTCCTGTCGCAGCCCTAGACATCGGAGCGTGTGTGGTGGGACAGGGCGTGCAGTTCTATCTACGTCGGTCCTCCTTTTGCCGCCTGGCGGCTCAAGCGGTTATCCGTAAGGGCTTTGCCCCTTGCCGCCGACTCCTTTTCATAATGGGATATCTCAGAGTCGCGTCGGTGTCGTCTTGTCGTTGACTTGGCGCATGCGGGGGCGGATAGGGATCAGCAGCGCATATTGAGACTTTGGCGTTGTCGAAGACGCCTACGGCGAACCACCGCCGCCCCTGCCTTTTGGAGTCGTCAATGTAGCCGAGCGTTATGGCAAGAGCTCTGCTAAGCGATCGGGCCATGTGTTCCCTCATCCTTTGTAGAAACCCTTCGGGGAACACTTGGGGGAGGATGGAGGGGAAAATCAGGAGGAGGAGGAGGAGGTGGAGGAGGAGGGGGCATCTTGGGAGCTTCTGGGGGCACTCTTGGGGCCTCCTTGGTGTTTCCTGGGTGCCGGGACGTCGTCGTGTGGGGGGTCTCAAGAATTGAGCTCTCTTGGAGTGGGGGTGCGGGAACGTGGTGGGGGCGTGGTGGAGGCGCGGTGAGGGGTGTTGGTAAGTATCGGGCCAGGAATTGTCGTGTGGAGGGTCGAAGAACTGAGCTCTCGTGGAGTGGATGTGGCGGGATTTGGTGGGGAGGTGGTGGGCCAGTGGGGGCGCGGCGCAGTCTGTTCGGCGCCGCCTTTGCGCGGCGCCAGCGTTAAACCGACAGTGTTTGCGGCGGCAACCGCGTTGCCAGGGCATCCCGCTGCAGGGGTCGTTCGGCCGTCAGCGCCAGGGCGCCTAGCTCCGCAAAGGAAATCGGTCTTGGACCCCCCCCAACAATTTCTGGCCCAAACCTTACCGACACCTCCCACCGCGCCCCCACCACGCTCCCACCACGCACCGGCACCCCTTCCCCACGAGAGCTTCGTTCTTGGGATCCCCCCACACGACAATTTCTGGCCAGAAACCTACCGACACCCCCCACCGCGCTCCCACCACGCCCCCATGTCCCGGCACCACCACCCCACGAAAGCTAAGCTCTTGGGACCTCCCACACGAGAATTCCTAGCACGACACTTCCCGACACCCGCCACAGCGCCTCCACCACTCCCCCACCAAATCCCGGCACCCCCACTCCACGAGAGTTCAGTTCTTCAAATCCCCCACACGGCAATTCCTGGCCTGACACTTGCCGACACCTCCCACCGCGCCTCCACCACGCTCCCACCACGTCCCGGCACCCCCACCCCGCCAGAGCTCAGTCCCGGGGATCTTCACACGACAATTTTTGGCCCCAAACTGACAGACACAACCCACCGCACCGCCCCCACCACGCCCCCTCTACACCCCGGAACCCCCACCCCACGAGAGCTCAGTTCTAGGAAGCCCCCACACGACAATTTCTGGCCCAACACCTATAGTATACCAACACCCCCCCGCGCCCCCACCACGCTCCCACCACGTCCCGGCACCCCCACCCCACGGGAGCTACGTTTTTGGGACCCCCCACACGAGAATTCCTGGCCCGAAACTTCCCGACACCCCCCACCGCGCTCCTACCACTTCCCCACCACGTCCCGGCACCACCACTATACGAGAGCTCAGTTCTTCGGACCTCCCACACGACAATTTCTGGCCCGACACTTACCGAAACCCACCACCCCGCCTGCACCACGCCCCCACCACGTCCCGGCACTCCCACCCCACGAGAGCTCAATTCTTGGACCGCCCCGCACGCCAATTTCTGGCCCGAAATTTACCAACACCCCCCAGAGAGGCCAACCTTCGATCACTTCTTTGGGGTCGGCGGCAGAGGCGGCAGCCTGAAGATTGTCGTTTGGGAGGTCCCTAAAAACTGAGCTCTCGTGGGGTGGGGGTGCCGGGACGTTGTGGGGGCGTGGTGGGGGGTGTCGGTAAGGGTCGGGCCAGAAATTGTCGCGTGGGGAGTCCCAAGAACGGAGTTCTCGTGGGATGGGAGTGCCGGGACGTGGTCGTGTGTGGGGTCTCAAGAATTGAGCTCTCTTGGGGTTGGGGTGCGGGGATGTGGTGGGGGCGTGGTGGAGGCGCGGTGGGAGTGTCGGTAAGTGTCGGGCCAGGAATTGTCGTGTGGGGGGTCCAAGACTTGAACTCTCGTGGAGTGGATGTGCCGTGGTGGGGGCGCGGTGGGGGGTGTCGGGAAGTATCGGGCCAAGAATTTGTTTTTCGGGGGTCCCAAGAACTGAGCTCCCGTTGGGTGGGGGTGACGGGACGTGGTGGGGGCGTGGTGGGAGCGCGGTGCGGGGTGTCGGTAAGTTTCGGGCCGGAATGCCGGGGCGTGGAGGAGAGGGTCAAAATTTTGGGCAGCATCGATTTCAACTTTTTGGGCAGCAGCGATGATTGCAGACGGTGGTTGTAGCACGCCCCTTCATCTCACACGCGTCTGGGGTCGGCGGATATCGCAGTGATGAGATTCGCCCATATGGTGCTAAAGTATACATGCGTAATACCTGACTGCATGGTGCTGTGGTTCAGGATGTGCCTTTCGAGGGCCAGAGAGCTGGGTGTCAGCCAGCTGCTGGACCAGCCCGTCGCAGGGGCGTGGCTCTACCCCTGCCTGAAGGTGCCCCCCATGGGCTTCTCGTGGGCAACGCGGTGGACGCAGCAGGCCCATCGCGAGTTGCTGCGAAGAGGAGGCCTGGTCGAGGGTGAGTTGGTGCACCGCCATGTTGCGCATGAGGTGGGGGCGCTGACCGTGCCGCGCATCGCTCACGTTGACCGAGATGTTCGTCTCCTCCGGAGCTGGCGACACCGAGGCAGCCTGGAGGCAGGCGGCCAAGGTGATGGCGGACGTCGGCCTGCCCTTGCACGAGGTGGAGGACGGCCAGAGCTTCGTGGAGCCGCCAGGGCTCGAGCTGGTTAGGATCAATCTCAGGGCCGGGCTGGCGCGTGGCAGGCGCTGCCGCTTTGGCCTGGGCGCGCAGGCGCTGCTGAGGCGCAGGCGTGTCGCGGGTCGCGAGGTGGAGAACTTGATCGGCCACTTCACGCACGCCATGCTGCTCAACAGGCCGGCGCTGTGCGTGTTCAGGGCCGCCTGCGACTACGCGAGGAAGCACTGCCGCAACCTTGCGCCGCTGTGGGCTTCGGTGCGCCAGGAGCTCACCACTACCATGCACCTGCTGTCGCTGCTGGCCGTCCAATTCGACCTGCCGTTGTCCGGGCGCGTGACGTGTTCGGGTGCAACGCCCAGGGGCTTTATGCAGTGCAGGTGGCAGACGTGGAGCCCGTGGTCGTACGCAAGATAGGGCGCTGGAGTGAACGGTGGCGCTTTCGCGTTTCATCAGCCAGGCGCCCTCGAGACTTGGCGCTAGGCGTGGGCCTGACCGATGGTCTCGACGTTTCAGTCAACACGGTCCATCATTGAGAGTCTAGCGTGCAAAAGCCAGGTGGTAAGCACCTTCCTGGGATGAGACCGATCAAGATCTCCCCCGCACCTTGCTCCAGGAGATTCTGGGGCCGACTGCGGAGGTCAGCGTGGAGATCGACACCAACGATCAATTTCCAGGACTACCACAATCGTCCATCCAGGAGGCGGAGTGGAGGGCCATCCAGGCGAGGAGGTACCACACGGGGGCACTCGTGTTAAGTAATTACGAGCAGCACTATCGGAGTGGATGAGGAAATGCCGCCAAGTAAGACATCATCGCCACTGCCATCTGCCCTCGTTGCGTTGAGTTTGGAGAAGGGTCGGGCCGCGTCCCCGTCGGTGCTCCTGCGCTGGGAGCCTGGCGACGAGAGCGAGCTGAGGGAATCGCGAGCGCCTCCAGAGCCAGAGGGGCGGACTGGGGCTGGCCCGAGAGTCCTCGACGGCGCCGCGGCGGCCCTCATCGACGTGGTGTCGCCAATACCGTGCGCCAGACCGTCCACCGTCAGCCTCCGCCGCTTGCGCGGGCCAGGGGCGCGGGGATGGGGCGCAGGCTTGGAATTGGTGGGCTCGCGACCCTGAAGCAGGAGAGCATCACCCCGAAGACCAAGCAGGACTACGTGCGGAGGTTGGTTCGATTCGACGATTTCTGCAAGACCCACGGGCTCGCGACGGCGACCGACGACAGCTCGGAGGAGGCGCTCGTCGAGTACATGGACCTGCTGTTCTCGCGGGGGAAGCCGTCGAACCTGCTCTGGCCCTTGCTGCGTTCGGTTTCGGGCCCTGCTTGGTCCCCCTCGTCGCTGTGCGACCGCCGGGATTCAAACCCACGTCCACAACAAACATAATCCTGCTGCTGATCCTGCTCCTGCCTCATGATCATCCTCCAGTTCGCCCTGCTCATCCTCCTGCTCATCCGTCACGTCTTCCGATTCCTCCAATGTGCACGCCCTCCCTTCTGCTTGCGCACCGCACGATGGGGCGGCCATTTCGGGGATCATGGTCCTCGACGGAACCCCTGCCGACGGATGCAAAATAGTGCGGCGCAGTGGAAACGGACGGGTGGGATGGGTAGGATGTCCGCTATATGGCGCGAGCGCGCTCCCTTCCCCCGACAATGTCGTGTGGGGCTCCCACCGCTCCTGCGCAGTTGTCTCCGCACGCAGGGGCTCGTGATCCCAGCTGGAACCTCCAAGCGACGGGTAGTGTTCGGTTCTTCGAAATCGTGCTCCTGCCGGAGCGTTGGCCGCATGTCAGGATGGGTGCGCTGCTCCCCCCGCTCAGGGTGGCGTCCCCGCTCCAACACGAGCTACCCTTCTGGATCCGGTTCCTTCTCGTCGTTGCCGTGCCCCTCCTTTGCACTCTCCCGCCTTCTCCTGGTCCGCCTGCTCCTCCTGCTATTGCTCCTCCTTCTTTTTCCTCCTCCTCCTCCTGATCATCCGCCTTCCTCTTCTTCCTTCGCCAATGTACAACGTCCACTCTTCCCGATCGCTCGGCAAACGATGGATCAAGTCCTGGACTTGCTCTTTCGTGATCAAAGTCCCCCAGGACAGCCCAATCGGCGGCCCGAGAGGGATGGCACGCAATGGGAAGGGATGCGTGGGAGGGGTAGGATGTCAGATGTGGCGCGAGCGCGCCCAGCTTGCCCCTGTCCTCTCCCCCTCCTCCGACTCTCCTGCCCTCTCCTTCCTCTTCTCCTTCCCTCCAGCCAGCTGCGCGCCAGAAAGAGGGGGCTGCCTTGACTATGCAATAGGGGCAGCGCGGGGGAGGGCCCAACAGCCACGTGCGTTTGCGAGCATGGCCCAGCTGCATCAGCAACGCAGTGAGCCCTCCGATTGCCGCGCGACTGTCCCAATGAAGTTTGAATGCGATTGTCCTGTCTTGTCCTGTCTTGGCTTGGCGCCCTCCTCCCTCCTCCCTCTGCCCTCCGAGCGCGCCTGCCTCATCGCCAAGGAGGAAGGCGATCGGGTTGTTAGATTGTGCGCTCTCTCCTCCTCCTTCAAGAGGGGAGAATGGTGGTAACCTGTTCAGCCCTGCCTGAGGCTTGAAGAAACAAAGCCCCTCCTCCTCCTCCTCCTCGTCGTTCCTCTTTGTTGTTCGCCCTCTTGCTCTCTTTATTTGTTTTTCTCTATCTCACACTCTCTCTCTTTCTATCCCCCTCCATCCTCCATCCCAGGAGGAGGCAGAGATGAGGAGGATGAGGAGGGAGTAGCAGGGAGTAAGGAGGAGAGATGAGTGAGGCGGAGTGGGGAGGCCCTCCCTACCCTTCCTCATCCCCCTCCCCCCGCGCACGCTGCGAGGCGTCGCCGCCGTCCTTCTCCCCGCCACCGGGGCGGCCGCCGCCGATGCCAACGCCGCCGCCCAGACCGTCGTCGGCGATAGGCGCGCCGGCGATCGGCGCGCGGGCAGGAGGGCCGCCTGGCACCGCGGGGTCGCTCGCGTCGCCGCTCTGGATCACCGCGGGCGTTGCCAAGTGGGCGATGAGTGGACGCTTACAATCGAAAAAGAAGCATCGCGGCAAAAGCATAAACTTTCGGAGTTCTGCGCGAATTTCTCGGATCTGCGCGGGGGCCCACCTGGCGGCGCCTCCGGCGCCGATCCAAGAAATCATCGCGGCCCTTCGACAGTGTATGTTTATGTGGTTCTTTGTTCCTCTAGACTAAGTTGGGTCATAGTTTGCCATGCCTAGTTTATAAGTGGGTTGCAGGGTGTCCTGAATGGTGGCTTAGGAGGGTGCAGATCAGGGCTGAGGGCGTTCAGCCCATCTTGCGGAGTGATCCAATCCCTATTGGGGCATTTGTAAGCCACGTGTGAGTTAGGTCAGGCCAAATATAACCCACCTATGGATCCATTAGTCACCCCCTATCCCCTTAGCAACACCCGCGGTGATCCCAGAAGAGGGGGTTGAGGACCTGGGGTGTGTGGATATGGTACGGGAGGGGGATGCAATCTCGCAGATCTCATGCCACCTCACCTTCTTTCATTGCGTTCTCTGAGCCCCCAGGTCAGTGCACATGCCTCGGGCCATGATGCGTTACGTAATCTGCCTCTTCTTGGCCCCTCTCATCGGCGTTCCCGAGCCATGAAGCAAAACAAAGATCCTGAGAGAAACGAGTCCTGAGGCTTTTGGCCGTCTTTGGTCTCCCAGGGCCCTTCGTGGGCTCCAGGGCCGTCAGATCAACGACCCGGGATGAATGACGTGCTCTTGAGGGACGGCACCAGGGGTCCAGGATTTTTGTTCTTCAGGGCCTCTTTCCTTCATTGCAAGCGTGACGGTTCGCACCTACGGCAGGTTCTTGTCGTGTTGACGCGGCGTCGATCGAAGCGCGAGCGTTCCAGGCTGAGCGGCGCCAGACGAGGACGACCAGCGACAAAAATACCGCTTCCTCGAGAGTGCTGGTGCAGGGAGGGATGGGGGAGGAGATGATCAGAGAGGGGGGGGGAGAATGGGGGGGGGATGAGGAGGAGGAGGAGGAGGAGGAGGTCCAGTCCCATCATTGTCCATTTCTGAGGCGCAGCAGTTTTCCGCGCTCTCCTTCAAGGCGGGGGGCAAGCGAGGAGGTACGTATCACGCCGACATTGCGAAGCACCTGGAGCACGCGGCGCGCGTGCCCGAGATCATCATTCATCAAACGGTTCAGCAACACTATGCCGCAGTTCGGAGGCTGGAAAAAACACCGGGGGCAGAATTGGCGAAGCTCTGCCGCTGACGTGAAGAGACTCTGGCTTTCGAGAAGCAAGTCAAGGCTACTCGAGAGGAGCTTGAAGGCTGAGAAGGAGTACGCGGATGTTGTTCGCAAGCTTAAGCCGGAGTCGGACCCTCAGGATTCTCAAGTTGCAGCCACTTTGTCGATCAAGCCCGAGCAACTGCTGGACGACACTTTTCGACATGTCCTCGATGTTGAAAGTCGATTTGTTGGAGGAGTTGGACGGTTCGGATGAGTTCGAGCTCTCGCCTGAGAACAGGGATGAAGTTGCGAAGCTCACTGAGACACTCTCACGTGGATGTCAACATCTTGCGAAGCAGTTGTTCGAACAGATCCCCGAGCAAGCTAAGCAGGCGAATATTCAGCACGACAAGCACAACACGCGCCTGGCGGACAACCGACGTCGCACAGGGGAAGATGGTGGAGCTGCTGCAGGTGCTGTTGCTGCTCCAGACGCAGGTCAAGCCGCTGCACCAGCCGTTGCTGCTGCAGGGGCGCCTGAGGCCAGTGAGGCTGGTGGCGTTGGAGGCGCCCCACCCGCATCAGCCCCTGTCAGTGATATTCGCACACGTGCGGATGGCTCTCTGTCCTGCGCCCTTCCCCCCCCCCCTCGGAAAGGGGGGAGGGGATCAACAGTACTCAGGCCAGCACGAGCTCGAGTTAACTCGGAGACGTTTTTGATGTGTTCGCCAGTCGGGTCCTTCCCTTTGGCTGTACTTTTCGCAAATCAGGAGTGCGACTTTTTCGACGGTTCACGCAGCTGTGGCCGCTGAAAGTCTCAGGATTTGTTCATGCTCCTCTGCTTCCTGGTGAAAGTCGCGTCCCCCCAGGATCCCGAGAAAGGGAACCTCGCCCCTCTCCGCCCCAGGGGCAGCTGGTCAGATGCAGAGCTTGGATCGTGCTGCTACGGCAGCAGGTGCGCGCTTGCCGTAATCCGCTACTGCAGCCTGCCTGCCAGTGCACGCTACCTCTCCCCCCAGCGGGCTTCGGTTTTTAGTTGGGACAGGTGCGGTCAGGGCCTTCTGTCGGGGCGGGGTAACAGTCGGGTCAGCTCTCGCCCACGCGTTTCCACTTGCATCTGCCAGGTGTTCTGAAGGAACTGCCCTCGAGGAAGGCTTCTGCGTCGCGACCGTCAGCGCCAACTGCCGGGGCGCGCCAGCATTGTTCCTGGGATGCACGGAGGCCCGCATTGCGTTGGCCCAAGAGCACCGATTGAGGGGGCAGTCGGACCTTGATCGGGCTTCGAAGAGCTCCAAGTTCCTGGGCTGGAGGTCCTCATGTCGAGAAAGTGCCACACCTGCCACGCCCTGCGCCATGGCCCGCATAGACGCCGCGTTCGGAGACCACCCCTTGCGCACCCCCTACGGGGTGAGGAGGGTGCTACACCTGCCACGCCCTGCGCCATGGCCTGCACAGACTCCGCGCTCGGAGACCGCCCCCTGCGCACCCCCTACGAGGTCGAGAAAGTGCAGCACCTGCCATGCCTTGCGCCATGGCCCGCAAAGACGCCGCGCCCGGAGACCATCCCCAGCGCACCCCCTACGAGATCGAGAAAGTGCCACACCTGCCACGCCCTGCGCCATGGCCCGCATAGACGCCGCGCTCGGCTGCGCTGCGCTGTGCTGCGCTGTGCTGTGATGTGCAGCTGTGTGCTGTGCTGAGCTGTGTGCGTTGATGCGCTGTGCTTTGCTGCGCTGTGGGTGAGGGAGGAAGGAAGAGGAGGGGGAGGGGGAGGAAGAGGCGGGAGACGCGGGTGGGACGCGGCAGGGAAGACAATTATAACCCCACGAAACTTGTGGGGGGGAAAACCAGAACCCCACGATGCATGTGGGGAATGCGATGTGCTTGTGTGTTTATGTGTATGTGTGTATGTGTATGTGTATGTGTGTGCTGTGCTGTGCTGTGCTGTGCTGTATGCTGCGTGTGTGATTTTGTGTTTGTCTGTATGTGTGTATGTGTGTATGCGTGCGATTCGATGTGCTGTGCTGTGCTGCGCTGTGGGCGAGGGAGGAAGGAATATGATGGGGGAGGAGGGGGGGGAGGTGAGTCGCGGGCGCGGGGCGGCAGAGAAGAATGCAAAAACCCCACCAATCACGTGGGGACAACTATTTGTGCCGTTGACTGCCCCAGAAGGCGCGGCGACCCATGTCGCCGCTGAGTTTTTTTTTCAGGCGCCCCGCGTTTCTGCAGGCCGCTGCAGCCCGCTGCTTAAGCTGAGCCGACCGCTTAGCTCCTGGGGCTCGAAGGGCGCGCCCTGCTGCGTAGTCCACGCCTAAGTTGGCAACCCGAGCGCGCGCCCAGCCGCCTACAAGGGGCCCCAGCTCCGCGACCAACTGGTCGGCCACTGCCTTCGAACGAGAGACCATGCCTATCTTGCCCATGGCGAGCTGGCACCTACGAACAGTGCGCGCCGCGTTCTTCAGAGCCCTCGAGCCAGATATCATGGCGTCGGCAACAACTCGGGGCCTCCCCGTGCAACCGGGGCTAAGGTCGTCAATGTGGACGTCAATGTCACGCACGACAGCCCTAAGGATGGGGTCGAAAACCTCCACGGCGAACGCCTCGATGAGGCTGGTCGCAAAAGAACAGCCCGCGACGATGCCGTTGGACGCGAAATCGGGGCCGTCAACTACCCCTCAATGCAGTCCAGGCGCGCCAGGCAGGGAGGTAACCAGTGCTGCTGGCACTTATGCCACAAGTATTGAAGGTTGATGCGCCCACAATGCTGGCTGAGGTCCCCCCCCCAAAAAGGCACTGACTTGACCTCTGCGATTGCCCCGTGCAGCTCTCAGCGCCTGCCCCCGGGCAGCGCCCCTGGCCCCTCGGCGCGCCCACGCGGCCCAGTAGGGTTCGGCACGATGGAGCTCCCACCGTGGAGTTTCGGGACGGCGACGCCGCTCCCAAACTCGAAACCAACTCGGGAACCCGAGGGCCCCCCTAAAGAGAGCCATTAGAACCCAGGACAGCTGCAGGGGGAGGGCCCCGCAGCTCCCGCGACAGCACACCAGACAGCCATGGCCCTCGGGGCTTCATCAGGCAAAAGACAAACATGTCGGCAATGAAAGCCGTCTAGACAAACCGCACTGCTGGCGCGGTGCTTCTCAGAGACTTCGCGGAGGTCAGATGGCTCGAGAAGGTGGGCAAGCCAGAAACCACCGCGGACCCCCCTGCCTCCAAATCGCCGAAAACTCGCCCCTCCTCGGCTTTGAGAAAGCTGGATGGGTCGCGCACTATGACCCCGGCCCTGGAGAGCGTGGTGGAGGGCGCCCAAACTTCGGGGTCTCGGATGGCTCGCTCCGCGTGCCCGCGCATGCTCGCCTCCCTTCTCGAGCCCATTGCGCGCCCACTCTTGCCGCTCCCGCCTCGACGCAGTCGCGGCGGTGGCCATGGCAGGCGCGCGAGCAGATGCCATATCCTGGATGAGAACAGACGGTGCAGATCGGTGGCCAGCTCGGGACGCACCACCGAGCTAATGGCCCGGCGAAAGCCCGCCGCTGCCGCAGCACAGAAAGATCCAGCCCGAGCCTGCAGCAGGCTGAACAGAAGCAGGAGGCTGCGCCAGCGCCGCCAGAAAAGGACGGCCTCCTCCCAGAAGCCCTTGCTCCGAAAGGTAACACTTTGAAGCTTGCGACTGGCTCGAGAGCCACATGATAGACCTGATGCTGGGATCTTCAGCTCGGCCACCTGCCTTCAGAGTAGACTTCCAATGCGTAATGGGCCTTCCGCCGCGCATCCCCGCAGGGGCCGGGGCCCCCGGGAGAGCCGACAGGTCGCGCTCAACAGAGTTGGCCCACTCTTTGTAACATGGCATGAGCAAGCGACGGGCGTGGTTATCTCGCCGCCCCTCACCGCGCCTTTGGCCTCTTGGCCGAGGCTAAGGCCCCCCCCCGGGCGCCGGCCTGGGGCCGAGGGCCAATCGGGGCGGAGACGGGAAGGCCGGGGGGCCGACGGAAAGCGAGAGCCTTGAGATCACCGAGCGACGCGTGGAAGCGCATTGAAACAAACCGATGGGGGCCAGCGAGGCCCCCCCGCAACATCGACTGATTTTTACATGCGCTCATGCCATGAGAGACAACCAAATAATCAAACCTACATCGTTTCCAGAATCCCAAGGTTTGTTTCTGAAAGACCTTCGCAGTGGACCAGGTGGAGCGAGATGGCGCGCAACGCCGCGCAGCCAGGCACGCGCGCCATGACTGCGGCGGCCCCCCGTCGACCAGCGCGCGCCGATCCAGGGGGGGGTAAAGGCCGAAGGCGTCCTTGACCAGACCGCGCACACCAGAGGACGTGCCGCTTCCATCGCCAACGAGCCCTGGGGCCCCTCGTAGGGGGTGCGCTGTCGGTGGTCTCCGAGCGCGGCGTCTATGCGGGCCATGGCGCAGGGCGTGGCAGGTGTGGCACTTTCTCGATCTCGTAGGGGGTGCGCAGGGGGAGGTCTCCGAGCGCGGCGTCTGTGCGGGCCGTGGCGCAGGGCGTGGCTGGTGTAGCACTTTCTCGACCTCGTATGGGGGTGCGCTGGGGGTGGTTTCCGAGCGCGGCGCTTATGCGGGCCATGGCGCAGGGCGTGGCAGGTGTGGGACTTTCTCTATCTCGTAGGGGGTGCGCAGGGGGTGGTCTCCGAGCGCGGCGTCTACGCGGGCCATGGCGCAAGGCGTGGCAGGTGTGGCATATTCTCGACGCTACCGGGGGTGCGCAGGGGGCGGTCACCGAGCGGGGCGTTTATGCGGGCCATGGCGCAGGGCATGGCAGGCGCGGCATATTCTCGACACCACAGGGTGCGCGCAGGGGGTGGTCCTCGAACGCGGCGTCTATGCGGGCCATGGCGCAGAACGCGGCGCTTCTCCTCTTCCATCTCTCCCCTTGAGTGACGTCACCAACGGCGCCGGCGGGGCATCGGCCACCAACATCAGTCTCACAAGCTTCACTTCAGCTATCATCACTCCAGCCATAATATGAGTATGTGGCGGTTCTTCGGTAGCGTAGTTGGAATTCCAGACAGAGAACTCCTGGACCTGTGGAGGCTGGCCGCGTCGTCGATCAAACCTCGGGGCCAGGGGCGCTCTCTTTCGGTTCTGTGTCTTCTTGAAGGTGGCCCCACCAAGAGGGCCGGCTGCGCCCCAACAGTGGGTTATCTAAGGGGATCTGGATCCTGCAGACCCTAGCTTTCCTGCGGTCGTCGAGCTGGGCCGAAATGCGCGAGGGGTGGTCCGCGGCGCTTGCTTCCGATGGCCATTCCTGGCCCAAGGTTTCAGGGCCCGTTTCGGCGCTCAAGATGCCCCTGCGCAGATTGTGTTGGAGCGTTTAATTCCTGTCCAACCTCAGCTGATTTTGGGCGCGAGATCCCCCTTGCACTTCCCCCCCCCCGCGCCTCGTCAAGCATTCTTGTAAGGGGGTGATTATTTCGGGGCCTCGAGCGTGATCTGGGGGACATGTTCAAGGTTTGCAAGAGGCTGCGCTGGGGCGTTCAAAAGAAGCCCCTGGCCTCGAAGGAGATCTCGGGGAAAAAGGATGCGGATGGCGCGCGCGTTGTCCAAGAGCGCCTGCCGGGCAGCGGGCGACGCAGCTAACCTCGGCAACCCGATTCCTCGCCTGTGCAGCTTGTGCGGCGAGGCCAAGGACAGCCTCTCCCACGGGATCCACGCGCGCCCGCGT